CACGTTGACTGTGTTGGACCTCTTCCATCATGTCAAGGGTAGCTGTTTGTCCTTACTGGAATAGACACTTAATCCAGATACCGATTGCCTATCCTGAACGCAATGCTTCTGCCAGAGTACCATCTGTGGACTCACAGAATGCCTTATACACCTTATGGTGTTCCTCACAGCATTGTCTCTGACAAAAGCACTCACTTTACAGCTAAAAGAGTGTGACAGTGGGCTCATGCTCATAGTATTTCCTCCTTATTTTGTTAAGAATATGTTTGTGCAGCTGGGCGCGGTGGCTCACGCCTATAATCCCAGTACTTTGGGAGGCTGAGGTGGGTGGATTATGAGGTCAAGAGATTGAGACCATCCTGGTCAACAAGGTGTAACCCCCGTCTCTACTAAAAAATACAAAAATTAGCTGGGCATGGTGGTGCACGCCTGTAGTCCCAGCTACTTGGGAGGCTGAGGCAGAATTGCTTGAACCCAGGAGGTGGAGGTTGCGGTGAGCCGAGATCGTGCCATTGCACTCCAGTCTGGGGAACAAGAGCGAAACTCCGTCTCAAAAAAAAATGTTTGTGCATTTATACACCTGTACTAAGAGCTGTTATTTCCTTCTTTTCCCTTTATCATATATCTTAAGATTTATCGACTTCATATCAGCATTTGTGTTAACTTTACATAAGAGTATTTAGGTTAAGGGTTAGTGTAATTCCGCGTGGAACAAAGAATAGCTGTATTATGGCATAATCGTGACCTTTTTATTGTCTTTATTTGGAAATTGGGTGTGATTTTAGGAGGTGTATATGGTGCCAAGTTGACAAAGGACAATGGTTAATCGTCAGTATCAACTTAATTGAAGGATGCCTTGATTGTTTCTGGTGTGTCCTGGAGGGTGTTTCCAGATAGGACTGACATTTGAGTCAGTGGACTTGGAGAGGAAGCACCCCCTCATTGTGGGTGGGCACCATCCCATTGGCTCCCAGCACAGCTAGAACAAAGCAGACAGAAGTGGGGGATAAGCCAGCTTGCTGAGTTTTCTGGCTTTCATCATTCTCCTATACTGGATGCTTCCTTGTTTGTCCTGCCATTGGACATGAGACTGCAGGTTCTTCCACCTTTGGACTCTTGGTCTTACTCCAGTGGTTTGCAGGGAGCTCTCAGGTCTTCAGCCACAGACTGAAGGCTGCACCGTCAGTGAGATAGTTTGGTTCTGTGTCCTCACTAAAATCTCATGTCAAATTGTAATTCCCAGTGTTGGGGGAGGGACCTGGTGGGAGGTAATTAGATCATGCGGGCGGATTTCCTCCTTGTTGTTCTCATAATAGGGAGTTATGAGATCCCGTGTGCAGCATGTCCCACTTCGTTCTTGCTCCTGCTCTGACGTATGAAGGAGGTGCTCGCTTCCTCTTCACCTTCTGTCATGATTCTAAGTTTCCTGAGGCCTCTCAGCCATGCTTTCTGTACAGCCCGTGACAGTCAATTAAACCTTTCTTCATAAATTGTCCAGTCTTAAGTGTTTATAGCACTGTGAGAAAAAGCGAATACAGCTGGCATCCCTGCTTTTGAGGCTTTTGGACTTGGACTGAGTCACTGTTGGCTTCTTTCTTCCCCAGCTTGCAGATGCCGTATCGTGGGACTTCACCTTGTAATCTTGTGAGCCAATTCTCCCTTTATTTAATAAACCCCCTTTCACATATACATAAACTCTGTCAGTTCTGTCCCTTTGGAGAACCCTAATACAGATATCCTTTGATTCTCCACATATTATGTACAGAGTCACTAAACTCCTTGCCTCTCGTGAGCGGTAACCAGGAGTATCAAATGTATTTTGCATAACTCTCTAAGCAGTTCACACCAAGGACTATCAGTGTTTTCCACACTATTAGAAGTAGCATCCTTAGCATATTTGAGTCTAATCATATTAAACATCCAAGTCCAGAAACCTGGAAACCAACTAAAGAAATCCTTCCTTAAAATTCTGTTCCTCTAGAACCACTCCTGGTATCAAAATACGTATTAGTTGTTGTTGGGTAATAAAGTTATTTCCAATATTTTATTACTGCCCATGTTTCTGCAGTGTCAGTACTGCACATGCTATTTTGTACGTGTGACTATATGTGATAAATCTCCAGAAATGAAATGTGCACTTGTAATACAGATAAACAGTGCAATATTTTTCTAATAAAATTATGCCTATTATGCCAATAATTCTTCCAACAGCAGCATATAAGAGGATGTTGAACCCATAGTACCAATTGACATCAAAATGTATTGATATGCAACACAACAGTACTTAAATCTATAGCACTGACTGCCTGTATTAGAAAAGAAAAAGATTTCAAATCAGTAATATCAGAGGCTACTTCAAGGTTTAGAAAGAGCAAATGACACACCAAGTAAGCAGAAAAAATGAATAATTTATTCTGTGTCATATGAAAATGCAAAAAACCTAGAAAAGTCAAAGCGACTTAGAGAACAAAGTTCAATGATTTATAGAAATTGATTTTAAGCCTTATTATAAAGCTGTGATAAACAAGACAGCATATTTGCATAAAAATAAAGACACTCATGGAAAAGAAGAGGTCAGAAATAGACAAACACATATGGTCAGCTGTTTTTTGTCCAACGTGTAAATGCAATTCAGTGGAGAAAGGACAGACTTCAATAAATGGTGCTGTAGCAACTGGCTATCTGTACATAAAACATTAAACTTGGTTCATACTTTATGCTATATGCAAAAATCAACTTGAAATTAACAAACTACACAACTAAAATGATACAACTTCTACTAGAAGAACAGTTGAAAATCTTATGACCTTGGGTTAAGCAAAGAGGTTTTAGATATAATACATCAAAAGTATAATCAATAAAAGAAAAATATAAATTGGACTTTATCAAAACTTAAAATTTTGCTCTTCAAAAGGCACTATTAAAAGAATGAAAAGTGACAGACTAGAACTCAAAACTTAATAAGAAAACAACTCAGTGTTTAAAATGGGCAAGACTTGAATAAACACTTCACCAAGAACATACAGATAGCAAAAAAATAATAGACACTTAACATAATTAGTATTAGGGAAATGCAAATTAAAACCACAACAAGATACCACCACTCATCTATATATAGAAGGCACAAATAGGAAGAATGTTTGAGAAGCTGGCTAACTTTATTAAATAAACAGATATGCAATTAGGCAATCCAGAGGAAGGATCTACTAAAAAAGCATCTAGGATTGGGAAGTGAAAATGAGAGTGGGGATTGATAGTTATACCACTTTTTATCTTTCATATTTGGGACATTTCTTTTATCTTGCCTGCCCTAGGAGTAAAACTGCAATTCAATATACTAGTGAGAGTGTTATCAATGCACAAGATTTAATATGCGTATCATTAAATCTAACAGTGTACATTCCTAAAGGAAATTCAGAGTAGGTCATAACTTCATCCCTTATAGTCAAATTCAAGCTGTGGATGCAGTCCCATTACAAGCAGCAAGAACAGTCCTATAATTCTTTATCTGTCAAATCTAACACATTTCCCTGGGAATGGGCAAAGGAGAAGCTCTGGTAAGACTGACGTTACTGTCTGCTGTAAGAGTAGTTAGTAGTACAGCTGAGCTAAGGGAGGAAGGGTGTGAATTAAAAGCCTATTAAAAATTGGCCTGAGATTCAACAACAAAAACTGTTTTAATATCTGGAAGTCATCTTCTTGCATGTATAACTTCATCAAAATATTTCTTGTGCAACTATTAATTGGTTATATCTATCTTAGGGGAAATTGGCATCAATAACATTTTTATACTGGTTAATTATGTCCTAGCAGTATAACTTACCAAAGTGAATAGACTACTTAATAGTGCTGGCCGGGTGCGGTGGCTCACGCCTGTAATCCCAGCACTTTGGCTGGGAGGCAGAGGTGGGCGGATCATGAGGTCAAGAGATCGAGACCATCCTGGCCAACAGAGTGAAACCCCGTCTCTAGTAAAAATACAAAAAAATTAGCTGGGAGTGCTGGCACGCGCCTGTGGCCCCAGCTACTCGGGAGGCTGAGGCGGAAGAATTGCTTGAACCCGGGAGGCAGAGGTTGCAGTGAGCCGAGATTGTACCACTGTAGAGCCTAGTGACAGAGCAAGACTCCGTATCAAAAAAAAAAAAAAAAAAAAGTGCTAAAATTCTGTTAAGAAAAAGAAAACACTAAGAGTCAGAAATTTTTTTTTAGAAACTACTAAGTCCCAAAAGCTTCCAAATCACTTTATTGGGAACAAAAAGAGAAAAATTCTCCAGAGTCAATTTCCACATACTCTATAAGGCATCAATATATTTAGATCTATCCTAGCCAAACTATAAGTCATTTCAGACAAATTAGGTTTAATTAAGGTGTTCTAATCAAGTTATACATTAAGTAGTTAAATAGTCTGTCAATTGCTAGCTACTACTGATTTACTTTGAACAGTAAACACTTGCATGGCATTTATATGTGGGCAGACTTTGAGACTCTATCAGATTTCAGCCATGAGAATTAGACATCTGTGGCCCTGAAACCACAGACTAGTAACAGTAACTCAAAGCTATAGAAAAAAAAAAGTTACATTTCAATACAGAATCATTTTCAGGTCTGTGGTATATAACTGCAAAACAAGATTCTATTATACGCAGTATTATGTTCCTTCCACTTCAAATCATAACCCCCATCAGTTCAATGTTAAGATTTTTTAGTAAATACAGTGGTAGGTGAATTCTTTTTGTGACCCTAGAAGGGCTCACTTGCGTGTCTGGATGCTTTAGCCAGTCAAGGATATGGATAAGGATGTCATTGATATGAATTTGAAGGATTATTTTATCCTAGTCTCACTTCTTAGTGAGTAGACAGATCTTCAATTTCTAACATTTGTTTTATAAAAATTCCTCAACTTACCTATAAAAAAGGTGTAATCAGCTATTGTTTCCTTTTAGAAATATGACTACCTTCAAACTACTGTAATACTTTAAGATAATAGAAACAATATGATCTTATGACATATTAGTTTATTACATGCATAAAGCTATAAATAAAAGAATAAAGAATATAATGAAGTTTTTTTAAAAAAAATACAAAGTCAGATGCTAAAAGCTGTACACAGAGAGCAAAACTCACTTTATATACTCATGATTAGCTTTAATGCTTCTTTACACTATACATCCTGAAAATGTTTACATTTACTAATAAGGAATGCCAAGTGTATCCATCACCATTTGAATAGCTTGCAGGGGATTTGTGATTTCTTCCAGGTTATCTCTTCTCAAAACCCAATCTGGTTTAAGTCTGTTAAAAACAAAACAAAAAAACAACTCTGGTGTTAATAAAGTTCTTAAGCGTTACTTACACCTTTTTTGTCTGCACTAAATTGTGGCTACTCCTGAACATCATTTCTCTTACAAACTGCTCAAAGACGTGAGAACCTCACATTACTGCCCATCAATAGTTCCACACTATTGCTCTCCATCCTTTCTAAAAAATAATGGTGGCTTCTTTGAAGCTGATGCTATTTGGCTTGACCACTGCCTTTTGGTCATCAACCAAACTCTCAGTGTCTTGTTCCTTGTAAACCTGGTTCTTGGTCTCCTCTTACCTCCTGTCACAGTTCTCAGCAACAGAAACATGTATGTGGCCAAAAAGCCAACGACCAATTCCATTTTTGCCACACTTTCATTTCTACCTCAACCAGTCCCTTTTCATATGATCACGTACTAGACTTTGTCATCATCAGAAAGTGTGCCACCACTAAAATCGTAATTTGAGACTTCCATTCTTCATCCACCATTCCCATGTCATCGGCTCTAACAGTCACTGAACCAGTTCTTCTACCAAACTGAGATCTCCAATTCACTTGGCTTCAACCCATACCCGACATCCACCAGAATGCTATTCTTACTTTCTTGTGTATCTAGCTCAGGTGCATCAATATTATCACAACCTTTGCCAATGCCATTAACTGTTGTCTTTCTCTCCTACCAAACTAGTCTGAAAAATTCTACTTGGATTTCAAACTGAGTCAAAATATCTGCCTTCTCCATACCTATACAGCTGCATATTACTAAAAAAATTACACAACCAAGCTGACTTCATTTTTTGCCAATAATTGCAAATGTAAAATGAGCATTTGAAATTGCCCAGCGAGCTAGTGTAATGTTATTTCATTATTTACCAAGATTGCCTACTTTAAAATGACCAAACATTTCATTTTTATTCATTTGTTGTTTCTCCGTTGTCAAGCACATCTTGTTTATGGTAAGTGCTCAATAACTATTTGTTAAATGAATGAATGAACAGTGACACAAATTTATAGACTATATTTAACTGCTTACCTTGAAACTATTCTGGTCCTTACAGGTGTTTCTGGCATAAAAGGAATGCTTATAGAAGAATCCTTTTGCTTGTAAAGTAATCTTTCAGTATTCACTTTATTACAAGCTGTAAGTTTGTAGAGACGGTAAATACGGTCAACAACTTTGGACCTACTTCGTACATCCTACAAAATAAAATGAACAGTTACTAAAAAGTAATAAGAATTAAAATTTCATCTCTTTTAGACTAGCAAAATCAAACATAATAAATAAAAATCATGCAGTAAACTATTAGCTTTGAATAATCAGGAAGAAACCTCGCCAAGTTGGCAGGTAGCTTGATTTAAATTACGAACTAATTTGCAAGGCAATCATAAAGAAGATAAATATTCAAAAGTTGCATACTTAACTCCGCACTGAATACAAGAAAGAATATAGTCAAGTCAACATATCTATCATATCCAGTTACCAAGTCTTGAAAAGTTTACCTCTGCAAAGTTTCCAAGTCTTCTACTTATCTCTCAGTGACACAATCCTAAGACAAGCACAATCTCTTGGCTAGACCACTACATGTCGACACTTGCCGCCTTCCTCAATGGTCTCCCTATACCCACATACACGCTCCAGAATTCATTCTTCAGTCAGAAGCTAGAGTGTTGTTAAAATTTAAACTGGAAAATATAATTTCTTCCTTAAAACCCTGCAGTGGTTCCTACTGTTATCAGGATAAAGGCCACAGTCCAATCATGGCCTATGGTTTCCCTTATGTTAACAGTGACACCAAGAAAAGCTTGAAATACAATTATGGTTACAACAGGAGCATAAGAAATTATACATATCTGGTTTTCTATCTTGCTAGGAAACTTTTCTCTCTAGTAAATAGGAAATGGTTACTTATATGGCTGTAATAAATCGTATTTTCAGAATTCAGTTTCTTTAACATGTCAGAAGGAAACAACTCATACATTTATCCTGAACTCATTTTATCAGTGCAGAAAACAGGTCTGAACACACATAAAACCCTATTGTAGAATGATGATTATTAGGAAAACTATAAAAGTCATAGACTCAAGACCACAGAAAAATAATCTTAAAGAAATGTTAACTGATTAATACTTACAGAGGCTCTATTTGTTGTCTTCAATAAAGTAGCCAATAAACAACAAGTTTTTGTGAAAATGCTTCCACTTTTGTCTGCAACTTTATTACCAGGCTTTTCTCGGTACATCTGCAAAAGCTCCAACAGTGTATCGACACAATTTTCTGCATCATAAACTGCTGAGGTTGTCTTCTCATACTTGAAGAGAACAGAATGAAATTAAAAGTTGTAATAAACACAAATTCAAAAGTTGCATACTTAACAAACAACCCAAACAAAAAACCCAAAAAACAAAACTCCGTACTTTCAGCCAAATTGTGGGACCACCTGCAGCAAGTGCAAAGGACTTTGTGCAACAGCTTTGATGCTGTCATTTATGGATCTATCATATATGTGTATTCACATTGTATTTTTAATCTTTTCCCTCTAATTCTGAGGTTTCACGTAAAATAAATAAAATTTAAAACCTCTGAAAACAAACATCTTGGAGTCAATAAAAACAAACTTTTAAAGGTTAAGACCATTTTAGTAAGATTCTCTCAGGAAAAAGATAACTTATCTGTGATATCACTAATCATAGGTAAGTTAACGATAAAGGCAGGATCTAGTTAGTTATTCTATTACATGCTCCTTGAAAGGAAGGAGGGCTTGCTGAAAAATAAATTAAATTTGATACTAAGTCTAGGATATATTTTCCATGTCTCACTTATCTAATTGTATTATTAGATTCATAGTGAAATTTACATGGTAACAAATAATGATCTAAGATAAAACAACATAGCTAACACTTTGTATGGCATGTTTATGTATTCATGTGTATTAACTCAGTCCTCACAATAACGTTTTGAGTACTGTTACTATACTCATTTTATAGTTGAGGAAAGTGAAGTACAGAGAAGCTAAGTGACCTATAATAAGCTGCTGAGCGGGGATTCAAACTCAAGCAGTTTGGGCTCAGATCTGTGTTCTTAACCACTACCTCTCAAAATAAAGACATTGGGTAAAGTGCTTTAAGTTGTCATTGAAAGGTTGGGTAGGAAAGAGAAATCTTTCAACCTCTGGTTGCATACAATATAGTTTGGAACAGATATCAGCTAATTTGTCCAAAGCCAAAAGACAAATTTTGATACAGATTAATAGTTACAGAATAACTAAGTTATAGCAATATTTTTCTTTCTCATGCTTGGCTACACATACTTATAATGAGGTAAACTGATATAATGCAGGAGATAACAACAAACCTCTAAAGGCAGATAGAAATGAATCCAAACTCAACTCTACCATTTATCACAGTCAGGTCTTAGGGGATGAACCTAACTTCTATAATTACTATATTCCTTCCCTATAAAATGGGAATAATAATATGAACTACTTTAGAGGATTTTTATGAGGATTAAACAATGCAAGAAAAATACTAGCATGGGGCCAGGCATGATGGCTCATGCCCATAATCCCAACACTTTGGGAGGCCAAGGCGGGTGGATCACAAGGTCAGGAGTTTGAGACCAGCCTGGCCAGCACAGTGAAACCCCGTCTCTACTAAAAAAAAAACAAAAAACAAAAACTTAGCCAAGCATGGCGGCATGTGCTTGTGATACCAGATACTCGGGAGGCTGAGGTAGGAGAATTGCTTGAACCCGGGAGGCAGAGGTTGCAGTGAGCGGAGATGGCACCACTGCACTCCAGCCTGGGAGACAGAGTGAGACTGTCTCAAAAAAAAAGAAAAGAAAAATACTAGCACATAGTAAGTACTTCATAACTTTTAGTCATCATTGTTTTTAATATTATAAAGACTGATGAAATAAAATACAAAAATTAGTACTTAAGTCTACAGTTATGTTAATAAAACATTTTTTCCACCCTAAGACTTGCACATAAATGAATTTTAATTCAGAGATCTAAGCCCTAGCGATGAGTAAACATAAACTTAATTTGCAGGATCTTACTTGTTTTCCAACGAATATCTCATTAGTAAAATGAAAAACTACCTTAGCTACATTTAGCAAGACTTGCACAGCGTATCTGATGACTTCCATACAAGGAACACTACGATTACAACTCCGGATCAAAACAAATATTTTAGAAATTGCTCCACTCTGGGCCATGTTCTCACAACAAAGTGGAGACAATCTAGTAACTACCTCTGAAAGAAAGAAAAAATAGGACACGGTAAATTCACCGCAACAAAATGAAGTTTTTGCTAACAACGTACTATTACAACGTTCTTTAAACATGTTAACACAAACTAACCTAGGTGTTTTACAGCCTCAAGAATGGCAGAAAGGTGCTTATATGTCAAAAGATAACGAAGTGCAAGTGCAGTTCTTCTGTAGAGTTTGTTTTCTTCTCGAATCTCCCTATTAACAACTTGAAGACTTAGTCGTATAGCTTTAATTTTTGTACAATCATTATTCTTCCTCCAAGAATAGCCTCTCCATAATGCCTTAAAGACATAAAACAGAGTAATTTTAAGATTATAGCCAATGTTTTCTATTTATATCTACATCTATTTTCACAATGTAAACATTTTCAGTAAATTTGTATGACATAATCAGATACATTTTAATTAAAATCTCAATTTCAAATAAATAGCAAAATCAATTTTCCAAAAAAGAAATACGTATAATATTCCTGTATGTGAACTGGGCAGCATTTATTGACCAAATAATATCTAAATCTATTCAAAATATTAAAATACTTTTACACTTCTTGATTATAAACCTTCTCTAGAGCATTTGAAAATAAAGATCTTAGCGATGAAATTATAGTAGTGTAGTGTTTGAGTTATTTTACTGGCGAATCCTTTAGCTTTTTAAAATGGTGACTATGTTTTTGTAGTGTCAGATATCATGTAGAAGAATTGCAATCTAAAGTTTTGAACTAAAACTATACAAGTTTCAATTACCTGACATTTAATGATTCCACTAGTAAGTTTTTCCTGTTTTTTACGAAGGAGAAAATGGCGCACCGCTTTCTGTATTACTGATGCAGCCCTATTTTGCTGGCTCAGACGTTCTTGACCTTCATGCTCAATCTTTTTGATGCTATGACATTTCTGAATAAATCTCTTTTGTTGTAATCTTGCTCGAAACCATCTCTGTTTAAAAGATAGATTGTTTTCATTTCTACTTAAGGTGCTTTTTAAAAAAATAAATACAAATATACATTTATACATAAATGGAAGAAAATAGTCTATGAAGAAATCTTTCATCTTTCCCCAGAGGCATTTCTTTCCCACTCTGCTTGGTACAAAAACCCTTCCAGTCCACGATGGGTGGGGGTGTGTGTACGTGCATGCACACACAGGAGTATATTTAATCCTGGACAGCACTGTCTTCGTTTTACAATTTATATAAATTCCACCAAATTGCATGAATAATTCTGTAATTTTTTTTCACTAAATATTTTATATGTAAATGCATGTTAACGTATATACACAAATAGAATTCTTCAAATTATATAAAGAACTCCTATAAATTATAATAAAAAACATCCAACAGAAAAATGAGCAAAGTGTATGAAAAATTGTTAAAAAAAAAACACACACAGATAAGGACTTGAATAATCAACATAGAATATAAGTTTAGAATTGCTAGCAATCAAGTAAATCCAAACAAAAATAAAATGCCATTCATTAGAATGGCAAAAATCAGAAAGTCATCCGATACTTTATGTTGGAAAGCATGTAGAGAAACAGGGTACCCTCAAGACTTTGCTGGCAGGAATGTAAATGAGTACAATTACATCAGGCAATAATTCATAACTTTATTACTGCGCCATAAAACATTAATGTATTTCTAACCTTTGAATCATCCTGACAGCTCTATGGTAAAAGGCTAAATGTTGTATGACCTTAACATAAGGCATTTGGAAACTGTTTACTACATATCAAAAATTTCTAACAGGAAAAGTTATATCCTATAGTTTTATTTCAGAGAAGCAGCAAACCTGAATACAGATGACTGAATTGACGTGCTTGTTAGCATTCTTCAGAGCCAGGTAAAGTTTATAGGCTCTTTGAATTCTGAGAGCCTTCAGGTGATAATATGCAGCTGCAGTGAAGGGAAGAAGCCGAATTCTGGCTCTCTGTTCTAAAATCTAAAGGCAAAAAAACAAAGCAGATTCAAGTATCTGCCTCCTAAGTTAATCAATGAGTGTTTTTGTATAACCTCAACATAAATTATATAAACTAGCAAGAATAATTTTTAATCATTACAATTACTTATATTGTAATTCAAAGTAATTACAATATTTTATGATACAGTATTTCCAACAGTATAACTCATAATTCAGCAGGTAGAAAGCAAAATTATATTTTGGGTACTTTACTAAATAACCACAGCATCTAATTTAACCAGACTGCCCTATAACAGTGAGTTAAGGTTTGCAACATACTTATAATTAGAGAAGGGTATAAATATTAAACTAAAAAAAAGTTACAGAATTCCAAGCAGAACTCTTGGAAATGGTGACATTAAATCAGAAAAAATTGTGTGAACTAACTTCTTTAATATTAAATAATACGGTGTAACTCCAGCAGAAGACGCTTTCTACAGTCGCTGTTGGGCTTCAGACTTCCACTTGATGTTTAATGAACAGAATACAAAAATTTCTTCTATTTAACTTCAAATCAAATTATTTTGTCTATGCCAGTACTTCACATATTGTAAGCTTAGATGTTATGACTTCCCTAAAAAGAATTCTCTCTTCCTGAAGACGTGGAAGCTGTCACAGGAATGCTGGTTGCAATATCTCAAAAGTTGCTTGGTGGTGGCAAAAAGCTACTAAGTAACAACCTCTTTCACTTATGAAGCTTCTCTCATATTTTCCTTTCCTTTGTTAAGATTCATTACAAAAGAAAATTTTATTTTGTGTATTTGGTGGTGAACATCTGTAAGAAATAGGACTAGGATCATAGAACGAAAATCTGATGGTCAGTGCTCTTGTCACATACTTTTCTAGCAGCTGAATGAATTCAAATTAATGATCATATTCATTCTAAAATTATTATCTAAGATCCAAAGTTTCTTAACACGATTTAACACCAAGTCCTTTCACTTTTTTTTTTTTTTTTTGAGACGAAGTTTCGCTCTCGTTACCCAGGCTGGAGTGCAATAGCGCGATCTCGGCTCACTGTAACCTCCGCCTCCTGGGTTTAGGCAATTCTCCTGCCTCAGCCTCCTGAGTAGCTGGGACTACAGGCACACACAACCATGCCCAGCTAATTTTTGTATTTTTAGTAGAGACGGGGTTTCACCATGTTGACCAGGATGGTCTCGATCTCTTGACCTCGTGATCCACCCGCCTCGGCCTCCCAAAGTGCTGGGATTACAGGTGTGAGCCACCGTGCCCGGCAAGTCCTTTCACTTTATAAAACTGAGATATGCTACTTGAAAATACTTACTCTTTTTCGTACTAGCCAACCACGCCCCAGTGCTTGTAGAATAACTGTAGATTTTTTTAATTCAATGTATTTTATCCTTTCACGTCTTCCAGCCTCCCTGGCTCGTATATATTTTTGTATAGTCAAAGCAGCGGATTTCTGCCGAAGAAAGACCTGCCTTCCTTTATATCCTCTAAAATGTGCTTGAATCAAACAAGCAGCTCGATGTCTCTATGAAGAAAAATTTATAAATAACATTAATAGATATAAATAAAAAGATTTCCAAACCACTAAAAGTTAATGAATTTCTCAGTGTAAGATGAGATGGCTTAATTATGATTTATAGTTTAAGAACATCATGTTTCCTAGATATGAAAAGGTGATGAAGCATTATTTCTAAACTCACATATAGAGCCAAAATGAAGGTGTAAGCCAAGGGTCAATAGATACCTGGTGCTCTTTCCCTCTCATCCTCTTGATACTTTTCATTGTGAGAGGGAAAAGAACTGACATTACAGGACAAATACACCTAATAAAAATGCTAGCTACAATATGAAGAGCACAGTGATCATAAATAGCTATGACAGAAACTGGCTGTAGCCTGAAAACACAGCATACCACCAGCACAACTTAGATTCCTCGATCACGTAACATTCTGTAAGAATTAACAAAATGAGACACAGAGCCACAAAGTGAGCATATGATGTTGGAAATATGGCGCCAACAGACTTGATCAACCGCAACACAGGGTTGACACAAATCTTCAATTTATAAAAAATACCATATCTGTAAAGCACCACGAAGATTTTTATAAATCTTCAATTTATAAAAAATGCCATATCTGTAAAGCAATAAAACAAGGTATGTCTGTACAGATGTTTTTAAAAACTAGCAAATAGTATTTTTATGGGTGATATAATTTTTAATTGACTGCAATAGATGTGTGTGAAATAAATGTATACTAAGATCTTAAAAACACTTTTTCCAGTGAAGGATTTTTTAAAAATTAAAAAATACAAAACATTCTTTTTGTTTATTTTCTAAAGTAGTTATTTGCAGGTGAATTTTTAATACCTACTTGTATCATTAAGAAGTGTTCATGAGCTATTTTTGCAGAAAGTATAGCTCTCCATTTTCTCTGAATGATAATTGCTGATGCTCTCACATTCAAAAACCTAAAAAGTAGTTATTGGAAAGCAGTTTCAAATTACTTTTAACTTATTCAGTGAGTATTTATTGTCGTCTCCCTTTAAAATATTAGAAGAGTAAAATATTACAAAGGCAATGACAGAATAAAAAAAGTGGGCAAGTATAATTCATAGTCAAGTTCTAGCAATCAGAATGTACAGACACACACACACACACACACACACACACACACACACACACAGTTTTACAATTGGCAATATTCCAGTGGGTAAGAAATACGAAGTTCTATAATTATAATATGGCACAGAATTTTGAACAGGATCAAAAGAAAGTATGGTCACCCAGATCTAGACAAAATCTAGATAAAGGGGAGAATGGTAGAAATAATGGTACAATATAAGATCTGAGTCTGTACTGCAAGTGAGTCTTTGAGCAGACAGGAGGTGGTCAAGAACAGAATGTGGAGATTACAAGCAGCGGCAGGTACTTCTCTTTCATTTGAAATGAAATATGGGTATCATCAAAATATCTAAGTAGAGATATTTTGTTAACAGAATTGGAGAAAAATTTAAAAACTGAGTGCCAGAGATTAAATTTTAGGGATCAACATAATGCTGAGATAAAATGTTCAGAATGGACAGGTTTTTCGCTCTGTTCTTGATAATGTGGAAAAAGTATAATGATTAGCTTGTGTTGTTGCCATGTTTCTTAGAAAATAAGACAGAATGCCGTTGAGAAAAATTCAGCATCTGTTACATGGAAATTAGATACTGGTCCTTAATAGCTGATAGTAGTAACTGTATCTTTATATGTTTTTTAATTTTTATTTTTACAGATACATAGTAGTTGTAAATATTTATGGGGTACATTTGATATTTTGACTAAAGCATACATATGAGTAATGATCAACTCAATAACTGAGAGATCAATCACCTCAAACATTTATCATTTCCTTGTATTAGGAAACTTCTATTCCTCTAGTTATTTTGAAATATACAATAAATTATCGTTAACTATAGTTGCCCTATTGTGCTACTACGCAGTAAATCTTGTTCCGTCTTACTGTATTTTTGTATCCATTAACCAGCCTGTCTTTATCCACCTCTCCCCTCTCGCTATCCCAGCCTCTGGTAACCAATTTTACTTTCTATCTTCATGAAATCAATTTTATATGTTAAGCCCTGCTTCTACCCATGGACTTGAACCAAAAATTCCTCTCACACTAGTGTGCTTTCCTAAACCATCTTGAAAACCATCATTGACGCAATAATTCATCAATTCTGGGAGTGAAGAAAAATTCTTATACTGTGAACTTAAAAAAAGATGATCTGGTAACAGTTCCTGAAAATTTGACTGTAAGAAATGAGCTAGGAATAGGGAAATACAATGAGCACAGATAGATTGGTAATTAGGGTCTTCATCATTAATGACAAGGAGTATGAGGAATAATATAAAATTCAAAGAAAAAAGGAATGAATAAGAAAACAAATTTTTCCAGTAGCTAAGTTATCCAACAAAATGGACCAAAGCACTAATGAGAAAAGCGAGTCTTAGCTAGATGATTTTATTCACTTCCTACCCCTCTGTCCTTACTCTAATCCTCCAACAAAACCAACCATATAAATTAAGCATAATGAATATTTGACAGATAAATCAATAAGCATGTTAATTTATATAAGGACTTAGCTATCACACACAAATACTCTTACACTCTCCATAGAATTCTGATACATTACCGTGTTCTCTCTAGTTTGGTATAGAAGCAACCTTGAATAATTTTAACAGCTTTTAATATAGCTAGATATTCTTTGTGTGCTCTCCAACACCTATACCAGGCTTGAATCTTGCAGGCAGCTTTCACTTTACATAAAGATTTCTTGGTTCTGTATCTCCTCCACACAGCCTATTAAATACATAAATATAACAAGTATGCAATGAGTTGTCTTTTTTTTGTAAATAAGATTAATCAGTATAAAGACAGTTAATATAAGGTAATGCGGACAAAAAGAAATTGCATAAATATAGTCATATCATGATTCTTTTGGACTCCGACTAGTGAATACTCTGAGAACAGTGGTTCCTACTATCGTGAACACCTATTACATGCTTTATCATGCTACCCTATGGCTGGCTGCCAGCCCAGCCTAACAAAACCCTAACCGATATTTATAAATTGTAAGACAGACAAGCCTAAGTCTAAAAAGCCAGATTATGTGTACTGTCCTCATCACCTCAGTCCATTTGGAAGATCAAAAATGAAAATGAACATATTGACCTACTCCAGGTTCTGGGGAGAAAAAGGAATTCTTTCCAATCTTTTCACTTTGGGTTTTCTGTTCAGCTGCAGAAGAATCCTGAGAGCTCCTGTGATAGGACTGCCAGACTTTCTGATTTTGATAACCTTCAGACAGACCAAAAGTTTACACAACGGTGACAACTTACTGACCTAAGCACTAAAAAGACTAGTCCTTATAGTAACAGGGGTAGATAATACTAATCTCTAATTTAGAGATGAGAAAACCAAAGCCTAGAGAAATTGAATAACTTGTTGATGTCACACAGGTTAATAAGTGGCAGAGTTGTCTTAATATTTATAAATATCTGGTGAAATGGTTATCTATTTTATTAAAAAAAAAAGGGGGGGGAAACCCGAAATTGAGATTCAGAAGGACTTGCTAGCATATAGCTGTTAAATGATAAAGTCAAGATTTGAACCCAAGTCTATTTGACTCCAACATCTCTACAACAAATACTACTGGCCCAACTTATAACAAGATTAGGTTCTAAATTCAGTTGATAATACAATAATTACACATGGTCAAAATTACTCTGAGATATCCTTAGTTCATTCAGAGTACATTGTATGTGGTTTCTATGTAAACCTGAATACATTATTTTTGTATATCCCGAATACCTGCCACCCTGGTCTTAGTCAATGGTAGCAGAACATCTCGCCATTTAATTGTAACAGTAAAAGACTGGTTAATGATAACAATGCATCATAAAATCTTCAGGAGGAAAGGAGAATGTTTTACGGACCACTTTGGCGTTTTGTTTTGCTTGTGGCAGTTCTAAGTTATTAGTTTTAAAAATCCATACTTTCTAATGAAAACAACTTGACCAAAAATCTGCCACAGAATTTCGAGACCCATTAAAACTGAGTTTTAATGAGAAAATTACATATATACATATATATATTTACACACGTATATCGATATATATAGATAGAGCCCTGAAAAACATCAATGTGTACATTCCTTACACATTTGGCAAATAGATGAAACAAAATAATATAAAAGTGCTTTGGAAGCCAAAACTACTAAATACTCGGAATAAAGTATGTCTAGTAGGCTAAGCAGCAAGCAGCTCTGGTTAACAGATTAGAGGAACGAAGTTACTCTATTTTGCCTGTGTTATGCCAAATAATACTTCATCTTATATTTTCTACTAAGGAAATAACTTTGCCAAATATAGAGCTCTCATTTTCTCAAAATTCTTCTAAGAGTGCTATAATTAACATACTGAAATGCATGACACGCAGGGTAGGGTGACCATGGCCAGAACAATCCCAGTTCTGTGTTGTCTTGGCTGACCTATTGGCGCTCTTTCCTATTCTCAAAAATCTTCCACTTGGGAAGATAAATGGTCACCTCAACCAAGTATTACTCTTCATGACCTGCTTAAGCTCATTTTGTACATTCTAACAAATACTGGTCAAAACAAAGACTGAAAGTTTTATATTTAAATATAGAAATACCTGAATTTTTATGGTGCTATTTTTCATTTTCTGAAACTTCCGTTTCTGTATAAATCCTTTGATTCTAGCTTGAATAACGATAACACTGCTTCTGATCTGTAAGTAAACTTTTCTTTGATGTTTTGCGGACAGAAATGCTCTGTAGTGATTTTGTAAAACCACTGCCGCTTTTCTATAGAGTAAAAACTGTTTTCTGGTTTGCCACGTCCTAAAATAACGCTGCAAAGTGACAGCAGCTCTTTTCTGCTGAAGAAATCTTCTCCGATACACAGCCATCTGAAGGAAGACCTGAATCTGTAGGGCAGCACATCGCCGTGTCTCCAGTTTTCTTGTGATCATTCTACAAAAAGCTTTTTGAATGGTTACTGCAGCCCTGCTTCGAGAATGATCCTCTGCTTCCTGTGAACAAGCAAGGCAAGCAGCGTTATACCACTCTTGAATTATAACACCCTCACTTAGAACAGCTTCATATTGAGCTTTACTTCTGTAACAGTAGAGAGCAGACCGCTTCACAATAGCTGCCATCTTTTCCTGGGATACGTTTTTCAATTTTTGTCTAACTTTCATGCCTCTAAAAGCAGCCTGAATAGTTCGTACAGATTTCTGAACTGCTAAGAAACTACTTCTTTCTGTTTTTACTCTAACATACAGCCTATAATAATTCTGTATAACCACAATGGCAGTTTTCTTTCTTTGATAATCAACTTTGGCCCTGTGCATTCGATAGAATGACTGAATTCGTGTGGCAGCCAGGTGCATATTTTGGATATCCCTTCGTACTTTAAAGCCTCTGTAGTAAGACTGTATACAAATAACTGCTTGGGTATGCACTGCAGTTAGTTTTCTGTATCTTCTTTGAATAGAAAGTACTGGTTCTCTAAGGTGGAGATAATGCTTCTTTATTTTAAAGGCTTTGCAATGCTTCTGAATAATAACGGAAGTCTGGTGCTGTTCCTGAATCAGTTTTTTTATGTTCATGTCCTGAAAACTTGCCTGAACGCAAGTCTCTGCTTTCTTAAGTTCATTGTGTTGAAGTGCTTTGTGTTTCTTTTTATTAGCTCTATATTTTTCTTGTATGATTTTTGTAGCCCACTGAAGATTTTGGTATAAACAATACTGCCTATACATTCTGTATGTGCTTTGTATTATGATAGCAGCTTTGTGTTTTTCCCTTAAAAGTTGTCTTGCTTTCATTCCTCTATATGCAGCCTGAATAATCACAGCAGAATACCATTGTTTGGTATTATTTTCTGTTTGCAATTTTGAAGCTCTGTATGTTCGATAATGTTGCTGAATTAGAATTGAGGCATGTTTCCAAGTCTGAAATGTAACATATGTTCTGTGCATCCTGAAAGTGGCCTGAATGAGAACTGCAGCCCTATGCATTTCTTGTAACTTCTTCTTGACCATCAGTCTTCTGTAAGATGACTGTATTATAATGGCTGCCTTTCGTAACTGCAAGAATTGGTGCAATTTATGTTTGGCACAAATGGTGGCTCGGTATTTCCTCTGAATAAAAATAGCAGCTTTTTTGAGTGAAATGAATCTTCTCCTCACCAGTAATGATCTAAACCTACTCTGAATAAGGATTGCAGAGGAATGCATACTCTTCAAATGCCTTCTAGTTTTCATGCCCCTGAATGCAGCCTGAAGGATCACAGCAGAGTGTCTTTGTCTGAGATAATGCTGCCTCTGCAGTTTTGCAGCTCTGTTTGCTTGGTATTGCTGCTGGATCACAACGGAGGCCTGTTTCAAAGCCTGATATCTCATATGTACTCTGCGCATTCTGAAAGTAGCCTGGATGAAAGTAGCAGCCCTATGCATCTCTCGCATCTTTTTCCTTATCATCCATCTTCTGTATGATGACTGGAGTTTAATAGCTGCATTTTGTAATCGAAGGAACTGTAAGTGATGCTTTGTACAAAGGTGTGCCCGATATCTTCTCTGAATCCAAATGGCAGTTTTCTTGAGAGACAGAAACCTTCTTCTCATCATTAGAGTTCTGAATCTCCTCTGAATGAGGGTGGCAGCTATATGCATCGTTTTTAAATGTCTTCTAGCTTTTAATCCCCTAAAAATAGCCTGAATGTGTATTACAGAATGCCTCAGTTTGTTATACCTTTGAAATAGTATGTTTCTTTCCTTCACTGCCCGGTATCTTTGCTGTACTGTTTTTGTTATCTTCTTTAACTTATTAAAATATGTTTGCTCTCTGTATCTTCTGTAGTTTGACTGAATGACTGTTGCTGCAATCTGCAACTTTCTTAGAGTCTGTCTCACTCTTACTCCTCTAAAGTTTGCCTGAAGGACAGTAACAGCTCTCAAAATTTTCAGGTAATTTTCACGCTGCATTTTACCTTGATAATATGCTCTATATCTTACTTGAATAACTATAGCTGCTTTTCTCATTGTATGGTATCTTATTCTTGACTGATGCATTTTAAACATGGCTTTAATAAAAGTGGCTGCCCGGTGCATGTGTTGAATATGTCTTCTAACTCTAATACCTCTATAAACAGCTTGGATTTTAATTGCTGTCTTCTTCAAACTATGATACTCCTTATACTGATGGTTTGTAATTTTAATACCTCGATACCATCTCTGAATTATAATAGCTGAAGCTCTATAGGCTGCATATTTCTTTTTGGTTTTGTAAGCTCTGTATTTAGACTGTATAGTTACTGCTGCTTTGTTGCAATCCTTTATTCTTTTTCTCACTTTCATACCACGATAAGCTGACTGTAAAGTTACTACAGCTGCTTTTGTTTTCAAATATAAATGATGCTGTTCTCTTCCAGTACTGTAAGCCCTATAATACTTTTGAATCAGAAGAGCAGCTTTTTTCATGATTTTCCACTTCTTTTGTTGCACATGCATTCTGTAGTATGACTGTATGATGACAGCACATTTATGTTGCCTTTGAAGCCGTCTTCTCAGTGTTTTTCCCTTCCACATAGATTGAAGCATCAGTACCGAATGACGGAGTTCAATATACTCCATACGTTGCTTCCTTCCTGCACTCCATGCTCTCAAATGTTGCTGGATGACTAATGCTGCTGTTTTAAACAATCTAAACTGTTTCTGGGCCTTGGCCATTCTAAAAGCGGACTGAATCTTCACTGCAGCTTGATGTTCCCTTCTAATCTGTTTCCGAACCTTCCAGCCACGATAAGCAGACTGGAGTGAAATCACAGCTGCCTTTGTCTTTAAAAAATGTGTTCTTATATCAGAAAGAGTCTTGTATGCTCTGTACCATCTCTGAATCTTTATAATAGATTGAAGCACAGATTGATATTTTACCCTGTTACTATAGCCTCTAAAAGCAGACTGAATTTTAACAGCAGCTATAGATTGTTGTTTGATTAGCTGGCGTACTTTATAACCTCTGTAAGCTGCTTGCAAGCAAGTAGCTGCCTTTTTGACCTGCAAAAAGTTCTTCCTCTGATTCACCTGTGCTTTGTATGAGTGATAGTAATTCTGAATGACAATAACTGCTTTATACGTTTTCAGGTAGTACTGCCGAGTCTTTCTCATTCTGAAATAAGACTGTAGTGAAGTAACAGCCTTTCTTTGCAACCTCATCTGCTTTCGGACCAGGTATCCTCTAACAAAAGCTTGCAGTTTGATACAAGATTCCCGCATCTGCATATACTCTTCTCTCTTTCGTGCAGCCAGTTTTTTGGAACGGTAACATTGCTGGATAAACACTGCAGTTGCTCTTAAATGCAAATATTGTTTACGTGTTTGTTTCATCTTAACAATTGACTGCAATTTTATTGTAGCATTTTTTAGGCTCAAAAATTCCTTTTTAGAAACATAAGCACGATAATATGATTGAATCTTTACCACAGATGTGAGGATGTGAATATACATTTTCCTGGCTTGCATCCCTCTATATGCAGACTGTAGAACAATGACAGCGGAGCGTGTTTTCTGGTAAGATGCTAGAACTTTCCTTGCAAAAATGTAAGCTTGGAAATGAGTCTGAATTATAACAGCTGCTTTCTTTATCTTCTTGTATTTCTGCAATTGTTGATGTTTTCTTACGTGTGCCTGCAATTTGATAATAATCTTCTTAAGGTTTAAAAAGCGAACTCTGTCTTGTCTCATTCTCCAATATGACTGAATAACACAAGCAGCTCTAATTTGTCTATGTAAATTATGAGCTTTCAGTCTCCTAAAAGCAGCTTGCAATTGAATGGCTGCAGCTCGTTTCTGCAAATAGTTGGTGCGCTCAATCTTTCCTTTCAGATATGCTCTGTAGTACTTCTGGATAGTTAGTATGGACTCTTTTCTTCTCTTATATAACCTTTGGGCTTGAAAGCACCGAAATCTTTTCTGAATGATAACAACACAAGATCTAACATAAACATATTTCCGTAATTGTTTATGCATTCTATACCATGATTGTATGACAATAGCAGATTTTTCTTCTTTAGCTCGTTTCCTTAAATGCCATTCTCTAAAAGCTCTTTGCAATGTTATTGTAGCTTTTACTTGTAATTGCATTTTACGTCGCTTCCATCTTCTGAACATAGCCTGGATTATAAGAGAAGATGATTTTAGCATTTCATATCTTTGTTGATCTTGTTTTCTTCTTAAATAAGCACGCCAGTGCCTCTGAATTGTAACTGTAGCCCAAAGATATCGTTTATACGATTTAACAGCAATTATCATTCTTATCCTAGATTGCAGGATGATTGAATAATATTTCAATTTCAGAAATCTTTTTCTAGTAGAATATCTTCTCCAATATCCCTGGAAAAGGTAAGAAAGAATACAAAGTAAAATCAGCATAGCTTTCTATATTTAACAGTTTTGAAATACCATTTTTTCTAACATTCTGCTTAAAAATAAACACACTGAATTAGAAAACTAATCATTTTTTGCAAGATATTTCTTTTTAGTTTCGTTTTTACATTTATCAGTTCAAAGATCTATCCAAATCCTCATTATATTTACATACTGCATTTGTATCCCAAAGTTGTAAGAAACATACGCAAGGTTATGTTACATTTGAAACAAAAGTCAAAATAAAACTGTAATATTCTTTGCTATCTATTGATTCTAAGTAGTTTTCTATGAGTTTATTTCTGGGCCTTATATAGCCCCTTATTTTAAGGTTTCTAAGCGATCTTATAATGACCAGAAACTGCTTATGTGACGTTCCCTGCATCATCACATGACAGGCTTGATAATATAAATATAGGAATTTAGGAATAAATGAACCAGATCACTCTCAGAGTCATTATTTTCATTAAGAATAAAATTCTTCCTTTTCCCAAATTTAAGAACTATCAATACATGGCTTAAAAGCAGAATTCTAGAAAGACTTGAGAAATGACAAAACTTTTGTCTTTTGAAAAGCCATAGTTACAATGGTTAACCTGATAATATGTTGGCTCAACAAAATGAACTACGAAATCTCAAGCTAATTCCAGCTGCCGATATGTAAAATGGTCCCAGGCTAATAAAGCTCTAGATGTTTTAGCAATAGGACTATTCCTTTGTACAAACATTCCAAATATTGCTGAGATTGGGGGTGGCATGGAGAGGTTGTTCTCTATTACATCATACTTTTTCTCACATAAAAGTAGAGTAATATAGGGACTGGGTACCTCACTCTCCTATAGCAGTATCCAGTTTGCCTGCAGCTATGACTGCCCTAAGCACACTACCCATGGATGAGGAGGCTTAAGGAGAAACGCACATCCTTTTCCCCATCCCCACCCCCAGCTTTTTCATACAAGTTTTATTGCCTTTCTCTACTCAGTGTTACCTGAGGTTTTCTTGGTACTCTTCAACCCAACAAGAACTTGATTGTATACATATTATTTCTCTTACCAAAAAGAGATGCACAAGTAATTAAAACATTTATCCAACAACAGTTAAAGTTATTTGTACAAACATATTTTGAAAATGACAAACTACATAAAGTATTAAGCTGCTTTAAAATAGGGCAAAGTGAAGCAGAAATGGTCCTCGGAAATGCAGACGTTCTTTCTCTTTTGAGCTCCCACCCCCCAACAGATATTTCTATGTAAAATCCTCAAACTATGAAATTGAAAAATCAGTGTGTACAGACTCTATACTTCGATAATCACCTTTTCTAAATTACTGTTACTACCCCATTGCTGAAATGTTAATCAATGTTGATATATAACATGGAAGATAAGTTCATCTCCCCTCCTAACAGTTTTGCTTATTACAATAGCAATTTTTTCACGATTGTCATACAGTTCTCAAAAATAAATAGCTTTTACTAAGGAGCGCATTACATGCAATTTTCTCACTTATTCTCACAAAAATACAGTAAGTTGGCATTCTTTCTTCACTTAAAGGAACACTCATGTTATAAAACTTTTTGTAAGTCCCACAGCAAATAAAAATAACTGATATTAGGATCTAAATTATTATACCGAAATCAAGTGTTCTCTCTACTCTACCACAGATATCTGTAGTAGGTTGATTACACTAACAGCCCGATTCTTCATCTCTCCCAGTAACTATAACCTGTGACCATACTTTGTTTTTCCTCTCACAGAAGTTTCTCTGCTTGGCCCTGCTGTGCTGAGACATGGTCACAGTCATGGAAAGAATGCAGTAACTGAGCACTGTAACTAAATCTTCAGTCTTCTGGTCAGAGGATGAAACAAGGCAGCCCTAAGAAACTAGAGGGTTCTAGGGAGATTATAGGGACTTGGGAGCTCAGGGGAACAATCTGATAGTGTTGTTTATAATTTTTTAAGTTCATCACTATGCTGTGCACAATGTGAATCTAGACCTCATAGGCTATAGACTTTAAGAACTGAAAAAGATACAGATCACAGTCTAGGTCACAGACTGGCTACTGGATGTTACATAATGAAACTGATATGATATAAATATCACTGTACGGCTTTCAAAAAGGAGCTGACATTGAAGCTACACCCATGGAAGGCTGATGAGAACTTGTGGCCTGAACCCAATCAGGTGAATTAGCTTCTAAAACTAAAATATCAACATTCTCCAGAGGATTTAAACTAAACATAGTGTCTCATAACATTAAATTTCCAGAATGCAATTAAAAATATTTTGTCATACAACATAACAAAAAATGTTCAACTTGCACAGAAAAAGACAATCAACAGATGCCAATGATGAGATGACAAAGATACTGGAATTGGAATTAACTGACAAAGACTTTAGAGCAGATAAAGTAAAAATGTCCCGACAAGTTGAAACTAATGGAAAGATAAAATGTCTCAGTAAAGACATCAAAGATATGAGTAAGAACCAGGTGAGAATAGTAGAACTGAAACACACACTAACCAAAATAAAAATTCACCGGTATGGCACAATAGCAGAATGGAGGTGACAGCCAAGATAGCAAATATCTTAGCTTTGTGGCCAGTTCTGTCAGAGCAAGTTATTTCTGCTATTGCAGTACAAAACCGCTCCCAAATAATACATAAACAAATAGTTGTAGCCATATTCTAAAAAGCTCTGTTTAGTAGGCCAAATTTGGCCTGCATATATGCCAATCCCTGACCATAACAGACCATATTCTGGGTCATAAACTGAACTTTATCAAATAGGAAATAACTGAAATCACAGAATGTGCTCTGATCATAATGGAATTGAACAAAGTCACCAACAGAAAAATAATAGGAAAATCTCCAAATGCTTAGAAAGCAAATAACATATTCTGAAACTTTAAATCATAAAAAAAACCTCAAGAAAAATTGTAAACTATCTGAACTAAATGAAAACAAAAATATACCATCAAAATCTTTAGTATGTGGCTAAAGCTATACTTAGAAGAAAATTTATACAATTACTCAGTTATATTAAAAGTGGAGAACTCAAATCAGTTAGTCAAGATTATACTTAAAGAAACTATAAAATGAAAAGCACAAGAACAGAAAACGGAACACTGCATGTTCTCACTCATAAGTCGGAGTTGAACAATGAGAACACATGGACACAGGGAGGGGAACATCACACACCAGGGCCTGTCAGGGGTTGAGGAGCTAGGAGAGGGATAGCAGGGCGTGAGAGGCTAGGGGAGGGATAGCATTAGAAGAAATACCTAATGTAGATGACAGGGAGATGCATGCAGCAAACCACAATGGCACACGTATACCTATGTAACAAACCTGCAAGTTCTGCACATGTACCCCAGAACTTAAAGTATACTACTAATAAAAGCAAAATTAATCAAACAAGAAATAATGAAGACCAAGCAGAGAGCCATGAAGCCAAAGGGTTGTCCACTGAAAAGATCAAGAGAACTAAAACTCTAGCAAGACTGACAAAAAAAGAGAAGATACAAATTATCAGTATCAGGAAGAAAAAAGAAATAGCACTACAGACTCCCCAGGCATCAAAAGGATATTAAAGGCATACTTTGAATTTACACATGTCAATTCAACAACTTGGATGAAATAGACCACATCCTTGAAAATTAAAAACTGCCAAAACGCATCAAAGGTAAATAGTCCTATACAAATTTGAAAAACAGAATCTGGCCAAGTACAGTAGCTCACACCTTTACTACTAGCACTTAGGGAGGCCAAGGTGAGAGGATCACTTGAGCCCAGAAGTGCGAGACCAGTCTGGGCAACTTAGTGAGACCCCATCTCCACGAAAAATATAGAAATTAGTTGAGTGTGATGGTACATGCCTGTAGTCTCAGCTACTTAGGAGGCTGAGGTGGGAAGATGGGTTGAGCCTAGGAGATTAAGGCTGCAGTGAGCAGTGTTTGCACCACTGCACTCCAGCATGGGTGACAAAATGAGACCCTCTCTCTAAGAAAAAAAAAGTCTGGAGAAGAATAATGTTTGAGATTATGAATATGCTAATTGTCCTAATGTAATCGCTATATAATGTATGTGTCAAAACATCACTATGTACTTTATGAATATGCACAATTATGTCAAGTAAAAAAAGGAAAAAATAAAATAGAAATTTCCACCCTAATATAGTATCACTGATGAGTTCTATAAAATAATTAAAGAAAAATTAATACCAATTGTCAACAATCTCTTCCAGAAAACATAAAAGAACACTGAAACTTCCCAACTCATTACACAGATGCAAAACTCTTCAGTAACATACTAGTAAATGGAATTGATAAAATTTAAATATATATAAAAAATATATCACTAATATTTGAATTTTATCCTTGGAATGTAAGTTCAACTGTAGGATTAGAAACCCAATAATTGAAGCAGAAAAAGTATTTAGTGAAACCCAAATCTATAATGATAAAACTCTCAGTAAGCTAAGAAACAGAGACTCCTTCAACCTGATAAAGGGCATCTAGAAGAGAATTACAGCTTATATCATACTTAATGTGTTCTAAATTGAGAACAAGGCAAGGATATTGAACCTTACACCATGCCTACTTAACATCATACTGCAATTCTTGGCCAATAAAATAAAGGAGGGGGGGGAATTAAATAAAATTTAGATTGGAAAGAAAGGCAGACAACATGACTGTAGAAAATCTCAAACAATCTAAAACAAAAACAAACATAAAAACTTCACAGAAGTGAGTTTTTAAACAGGATTAATAGTTATAAATCAAAGGATTAACACACAAAAATGAATGTCTATAAAAAAAATGGGAACTGAAATCAAAAAGCAATACTACTTATAATAGCTCCAAAATAAATAACACACAGAGGTATAAACTAACAAAAAGCTGATGAACAACTCAAAGATCTAAATAAATGGAGATAATACCACCTTTATGAACCAGAATAATCAACACA